CCGGCCGCCGACCAACGCAGCATGCAGCACCTCGTGCGGCACTGGCGGCTTGCAGATGACCAGCGCAAATTTAATGCATTTCAGCCAGATGTCCGGGTCGTAAAGGGAATCCAAATGGAAATAAAATTCAACACAAATTACAGAAAAAGCAGAAGTAACAATTCCACCAAAAGCATATGTCTGCGCATGTAAATATGCGAACCAAAGACCAGAAACAGCAGAGGATTTCGTTCGTGCGATCAGGCAAAGGCGCAAGAAACTGATAGAATGTACATATGCCCTTGCATATAACAAAGCTTTCATTAAGGAAAGGAACGGCCCAAGTACAACAAATATGTAAATATATGTATGTATTATCACGTATACACTAACACTCAGACATAACCCACACGCTGCCTCTGTTTGTAGTATATACATAGATAGACAGATAGATAGATAGATAGATGTGCGTGCGTGCGTGTGTGTGTGTGTGTGTGTGTGTGTGTGTGTGTGTGTGTGTGTGTGTGTGTGTGTGTGTGTGTGTGTGTGTGTGTGTGTGTGTGTGTGTGTGTGTGTGTGTGTGTGTGTGTGTAAGAAAACGTAGCGTGTATTCCCCTGGACTCGTCCAAAGACCGACCGGCACCTGCGAGCGTTGGGTCCCTGCCGCCGCCTCAGCGGCCGACCCTTGACCCCCGACGAATCGGGAGACCCGCGGTCACGTGACGCCCCCCGGCACCCAGTCAGATGTAGAGCTCGGAAGACAGCGAGGGTGGGGGCGCACACTCCGCACAATGACACCACAATGTATATATATATATATATATATATATATATATATATATATATATATCACATTATGCTATCCCCGCTGCGTCACAGCATTTACGTTATCGACAAGCACACGGCCTCGTCGGCAACCCTTCTTTCAGGCGTGTCACATATTACGAATCGCAAGAAGGAGGAAAGTTATCTATCCAAGATACACCTGATTGCACTGGCATCTGGAATATGTTTACAAGCGACGTAAACCATTACTGGTCCAAACGTTGAGGTCGTCCGTCGATGCAGAAGTTGCGGTCCGCACGGTATCGGCTGCATGCCTCCGGCGAGTTTGATGCCGTATCTAAATGACGTCCATTTTACAGCCGACAGATGTTCGCTGTTTGGCCAAGGACGAGCCCGCTAAAAGCCCGTGCTATCTTGGTTACGCGCGGCTGGGAACAAATAGGTACGCCATGCAGTGCCTTCTAGGGGAGCGGGGGGGGGGGGGGGGGGGAGCCGCTAATGAGCGGCCACGCCGTGGCGGTACACTGACGAGTTGGTGTGTAGCCCCGGCAGGCGGCCCGCCGCTAATGGCGCCCCGCCCACAGCGCGCCGGCCGATACCAAGTTTGATCTGTAATCGCAGCCCCTTTCATGGCAGCAGCTGCCCGCCGACGCCGGACCCGCTGCCACGGCCGCGCCGCAGACCGGCGGCGCAGGTGCAACGACCGCGGCAGAAAGCGGCGCGACAGCCGCTGCCGTGAAGGAATCATTAACCACAGTCTAAACAGGCACGCCGAAAGAGAAACAAGAGCCTCTGGCGGGATGCGCCGGCGCCTCTCGCAGATGCGACGCCGCCCGCGCCTGGCCGCTTAGGCTCGCCCGCAGCACATCAGGAGCTCGCCGGCCGACCCAGCGCGGCACAGCGACGTTTCAAGGTCGAGCGCGTCCGAGCCGGCCAGTGTTGACGAAGCTTAATGATGTTGACGTGGGAGCCCGCTTTGGCCGCTGCAGGAGTTTGTGTGTGATGGGAGCCATCATTTTTCACGCCACGCGACGGCCGCCTCCCGCATTGCCACCCGTCATAATTGACCCAACACGGGACGCACTTATCCGCCTTGCCACAAGGGCCGAGCGCGCCGCCGCGCTAGCACGACTCCACGACCCTGCTGAATGCCTCGCATGGATGTCCACCTGGATTACAGCGCCGCGAATAGCGGCCAGAACAAAAGCTGTGGCGGCGACGGACGTCAGCAGCTGTGGGCCGACACGGGCGGCGGCTGAAGAGCCCTCGGCACCGCACAATGCCGCTGTCGATCACGACAGCCGCACCGTGACACCCGGACACCAGGGGCGTCCGGCCGCCAGGGCCATCAGGACACCACGGACATCCGACGACCAGGAGCACCGGTGACCAGGGCCACCCGGCCACCAGGGGCACCCATCCACCAGGAGCACCCAGCGACCAGCGGCACCCGGTCGTCAGGGCCACCCGGACACCATGGACATCCGACGACCAGGAGCACCGGTGACCAGGGCCACCCGACCACCAGGGGCACCCATCCACCAGGAGCACCCGGCGACCAGCGGCACCCGGTCGTCAGGACCACCCATCCACCAGGAGCACCCGGCGACCAGCGGCACCGGACCGCCAAGGTCACCCGGACACCAGGGGTACCCAGCCAAAATCGGCCCCCGGACAGCCGCTCCACGGTTCACAAGGCTCTCGCGGCCGACCCAGGTGCGGCCAACTGAAGCAGCACCAGACAGCATCGGCACCAGACAAGATCAACTGACAGGGCCAAGCGGGATCCACTAAGACGGGGTCAACCGAGATCAGACGAGACCGGCTGTCGAGGTCAAGTGAGACGTCAGTTGAGGTCTGTTGAGAATGATGGATACAGGGTCAGGCGAGGTCAGATGACACAGGTCGAGTAAGGTCAAACGAGACGGGTCTGATGAGGTCAACTGAAACGAGTTCAAACAAGGTCAGCTGGGGTAGAGTCGGTGGAAGGAAGTGGTCACGGATCAGGCCAGGTCTGCTGAAATGGGATCAGGCGTGGTTAATTGCGACTGATCTGGTGGGAGCAACTGGCGCAGGATATACTGCGGAACGATCACAAAACTAAGGAACGATCAAGATGACAGTGCAGGCTTGCCTGATGGTCGATCATGGTCAAACAAAGCGAGAAATATAAATATCAGGAGACGTATTCTGGACATGTTCCGGCATAGCCAGGGAGCTGTCCCTGTCTGGGCATACCTACCAGCTGTATGTGTATGTGCGATGACCACTGTCGAAGGCAGCCGCCCGGCAAGGACACGTGACAACAAACGCTTCCATGGAGAGCGCTTAGGGCAGGCGTCCGGGCTCACCATGTGCATCAGCAAGCAGCTTTGACGGCTGACGATGTACGGAGCAGGAGTGACGATTACCTGTGATTATCGATACCGTTTCTGAAAGTGTGGGTCGGCCCTCAAAAGTGTGTATTTTGTTCACCATATGGCTTTCAGCAGCCGCATTTACCGCGATCTCGGTGTGGCACGTAGTCAGCCCAAGATGAATATAAAAAGCAGCGTTCCAGCGGCAGTCAGAACTAACGGTGGGCCAGATGCCACGCCATTATCGGCCGTTCATAAATAACGTATGTGCAGCACTGATATTCCGCCCAGCGGCAGCATCTGCCCATCGATCCGGCTCCGTGAGGTGTTTCCGTTGGATAGGCTGGGCCTCTGTCCTTGCCGGTAGGCAATGCTGGTCAGACTGGGCTTTATAACGCTTCCGGTGGTTTCGGCCATGCCACCCGGCTCTCTGTGCCGACTGCAGCAAGAGGGGAGGGGTGGGGGGGGGGGGGGAGGGCGACGAGCAGGGGCGAGCGGCGCGAGACGCCCCGGCGTCCGTCAGGCCGCCGCCGCGTCGACAGCTGACGAGCTGATGACGTGCTGCTCCGCGCAGAGCGGCGTGCGCCTCCATTGCAGGGGTACCCGCGGCCCGGTAAAGCGTGCGTGAACCCCCCTCCCCAGACCGCAACCGCGCAAGACGTCCATCCTGCAGTAAATCGAGGCCAACGTATGAAATGGGGAGATGCACTTTGGCGGACGAGTTCGGCGAGTGCGGTCGGCTCGCGGGCGGCGGTGTGAGGATCAGCCGGCTGGCTCGGGGTGAGGATCAGCCGGCTGGCTCGGCGCCGCGGCCGTGACGAGCGCGCCGCTCGCGCTCGGCCGCGCCCGCCGCGGCAGCACCGGCCGGTGTCCCGGAACACGGCGTTCCGGAGAGCACCGTGCTCCGATGCGCGATTGCGCGCGCTGGCGGTGTGCTCTAACCGACTCCCGACTGTGGTGATCTGCGTGAGTTGGTCCGGTCACACGGGTGCGAGGATACTCACAAAGCACGGAGGCGCCTGGAAATTTTCACATCTCGTTCTTGAACTTGGAGTCTTGTGCAGGAAGACATCCGGCCCGCGCACAGAAACAAAGTGAGCCATTCACGGAGTATATGGATTGAACCACATAGTAACATTGCGTTGCATTCGGCATCTCGCGAAATAAAAGATGAACACGTCAACACATTGTGCCAATTAACCTAGTGACATGTAGACCTTCCACACGAGTACAGCCTGTGCCAACCGCCATTCCGAACAATCTCTGCATCTGAAGCACACAAACAGCGCAGTTCTAAAAAAAAAAAACAGATATGAAGTTTCTGGCGAGAAAATGTTTTCAGCCAACGTGCGCTAACTTATACAGATCTTCTGAATGATAAACAGAGTGAGATGATAGGTCAAGTTGGCTACGCTAACATTCTCAGGCGCAGCATCCAGAAACAATGCCTACCAAATAAATGACAGAGTTATCAAACAGCTATATCAGCCATCCTTCCGCCCTGGCCGACGACTGCCTTTGCTCTTTGGCCAAAGACTAGTCTTATCACATTGACACGGGGAGGGGCACGGTCTCTGCGGCGCCGATGCGCGCTGGCCTCGGGACACCGGACGCGTCCTCATCAGCTGCAGCAGCACCTCCGGCCGGCCAGCGACGCCTCGGCGTCGCCCCGCCGGCGCCGACCGGGCCACCAACAACGACCCGGCCGGCGCCGAGGCTTCAGCACAGGGTCGAACATCAACCAGCGTCTGCGGACGGTGGACGGGGCGCGGCGGCTGCTCTGGACGTGGGACGGCACGACCGCGGTCGACCCGATCCCACCAGACTCCTGCCCGGCTCGCCCACGTCCGCGTTCGGCGGCGGCGGCGCGCTGCCCGCCGCCGCCGGTCGGGCTGCGCTGGCAGCGGCGCCTCATCGGGACAGGATTACGCTCACCACCAGGATCACCCAGTTGGCGATCTCGTGGCACAGCGGGCAGCCCGAACCTGTGACGGGAAGGCCGTGTCAGGCCCGGCGGCGGTGACGGGTCACGTTCAGCGCGCCGAGACGTTCGGGGGACAGAATTAACGTAAAAACATGTTTTCATTCTTATGATGATAGCATCCAAACGCGGAAGGTGCTAAGCGTCATTCCTGTTACGGCATTTGAGATCGCAACATAGCTCGTAATAATCACGCCGCTTCACCAACGTGTATCGAAATGAATGATATCGTATCTCAATGACAGAGCACGCACTATTCCCCATCGACCCGAGCTTTGGCTGTTCCCATGGCTTTCTGCAACAAAATTTTTCGGACCACATCAGCTCGAACGACTTCGATGTGTCTAATGACACCAATGAGCACCGGGACTCTAAGACAAATGACAGGTGATACCCGATAACGACACGCACTTCAGCCGAATGTCCCCCTAAAGAGACGCCGTTCCCAGCGAAATATCGCCCAGCTAAGCCGAAATTGAACCGAGAAGCGTTTGCGTCGCGCCGTCCAATAACCACGCCGAAAATGCACTCAGAGTTCCGGCAATCAATGCAGCTATGAAGGGCGCGCCGCATGCAGTGGCAGGTCGCAGCGGGCAGGCCGGCCCGCGGCGGCTCCTTCCGAGAGCACACGGGTCGAGCGGCGACAGAGCGCGCGCTTATTGGCGGCAATAGCGCGCGACGGCAGAGCGCGTGGCGCGAACGATGGCAATATGCGCCGACAATGCCGGCAAATGATGGCGATTATCTGGCGTTAATCTGGCGACACGAGCCGTTCGCACACATCCGACAGTGGTGTGAGCGACACGATCAAAGAGAAAGAAGAGACGCCGACAAAATTACTCCACAAATGGCCTTCGTCATAATACAGCAGTTCGAAACCGCACGTGAAATTATTTCGCTACACGGTTGACGTGGCGCCTGTGCTGTAATTTAGAATCTTTGAAAAATACCTACGAGCACTAAGATTATGCAAGCTTGCTAGGAGAACAAACGTGAACCGATGCTTGCTTTCCTGGCATGGTGATGGTGGTGTTCATGGCAAGGTGATGTTCATCCTGGACGCCTTCTAACATAGTCGGTCTCCAGAACATATATCGTGGGCAGAGTGTAATGGTTCTGTATCTGACGTCCGCCGAAAGCCAGGATGAAACTTTGGCAGTCATGTGACCACGACATAGCAGCTGCTAGACAGTCGAGCCAGCCGAAGCTGACCCGGACGCAGTGAGGATCAATTCAGCGTCCGGGTTACAACTAAGGCAAGCAAAATCCTGCCCAGCATCATACACATACATGAAGCGCGCTCAATCACATTCAACGGCGACCTGCGCAAAATAACCTGTACGTTATGGCCGATGCTCGTCTACGTCGGCTGGCACAAATAGCGCGCTCGAGAAAGACGGCACGCCGTGTCAGTGACCACCGAAATATCCCGGGTTCCTTTACACATAAGTGGGACGCTCATCTGCCTGAGCCGGCTCGCATCCGCTACGGCTATTTTCAACGCCGAAGCCCTGCTCGCGCCGCGATGAGACGTCTGTGGTCCGGATGAAGATGGATTCTGCGGCTCCCAGCCCGCTAACTACTTCATCAAAATCGACTCCTCTGCCCCACTCGCGCCACAATGACGGGCGGCCGAGCCGGGCGCCCAGTACACGGCTCCGCGCAGCGCACCGCGTCTCTTGAGACAGTTTTTCGGTCAGCGCTGGATGGGCCGTCCCCGGCGCATTACCTCCGCAACATCATCAGCGGGCATGAATACAGAGCGCCGGGCGGTGACTCCGGCAGATTGAAATATACGGCGGCTACGAGCGCCTGGCGTGCGTCGCCGGCGCCCTCTGTGGACTATTGTTTTTGTCGCTGTTTTGACGGCGGCAAAAACGCCGGCCACGTCTCGTCGGCGAGGGCCACAGCTGTCGACAGGCGGCACACAGCTTTGTGTCATCCGTCGGATCGGGCGGCCGCTTTATTGGCAATACGCAGCCGTGCTGTGAGAATAATGACCTCCTTTGAGAAGCCATTAAAGCCGAATTGTGAGGATAACTAATAATTCAGCGGTTTAACTGCGGCCCCTGGCTGTCGATCTCGCGGGAGATGGGCGGGAGGGTGAGGTCCCGTTGACAAGATACTCGAGGCGGGGGCAGGCGCTGTGGAGCCTGCGCGAAACACCGGAGCGTCGCCGGCCATCTGCCGACGACACGGTCCTCTCCCCCCTCCCCCCGGGACCCACGCCTGCCGTCAGCGGGGAGGCACCCCTGGCGTGGATGGGGCACAGCACAGTTTTTGCGGCGCGCGACTGTTTGGTGGGGCTGGTGTGACGCTATTGGACAAACAGGACTGCACGGACACGGTAACAGTCTCGACGAGTGACTACCATTAGCGTGCTTCATTAATCATCAATGTCTGAGATCACTAGCAGGACCCAATTTCGCCCGCCGACCCCGAGCAGCGGAGGAGGGCGCCGGTGCGTCGAGAGCCACAGAACACTAGCGGCGGCGAGCGGGGAGGCGGCCGGAAGTCTTACTTTTCCGGTTGGTGGCGGTGCTGTCGAGCACGTGCGACACCTCTGGCGGCCGGTCGCCGACGGCGCTGGCCTCGCGGCTCTGCCAGTACAGCGGCTGCACCAGGTCGATCTGCGCCGTGCACTTGAGCTTGATGTTGCCGCGCTGGAAGTGGTGTGGCCGCACCCGGAAATGGAGGCCGGCCGTCACCGACTCCAGGCCGTCCTCGTGGATGGTGGGCGGCCACAGCTTCAGGTGCTCCAGCGCCGCCTGGACGGCAGACAAGCACGGCTGAAAACGACGCCCGACTGGCTCTCCAGGACGTAGAGGGGGGGGGGGGGGAAGAGGTGACTCAGAACGACGCCCGACAGCGAGCATGGCCGCCTCTTCAGGACATGGGGGAGAGGGGGGGGGGGGGTACAGGCGGACTCAGAGACAGAGGAGCACTCACCGTCAGTCACCCAGCCATCAGCACGGTGGCGGCCGACCGGTCAGCTACAGCTCAGTGGAGCACGTGGCCCGGCACATTAGGCTAAGGGACCACGGTTCCACACATCAGGGGGATTAACACCTCATACAGGACCGGGCAATCGCTCATTTTGACGGCAATTAAAACCATAAGCTAAGCTAACTGTGATGCATGCAATCTTGAAAGCAATGCATCACAGTTAGGAAAAAAACACACACACAACACATGAGCCAGCCAGTGGAATCCTTTTATTTGTCTTTGTATGCCTTCATTTGCCGTTGAGAAGCAGACATTTGTCTTTTCATATCAGACGTATAGGAAAAGGAGCTAGTCTTCGCCAGGAAGCGTCGCTGTCTGTCACAACAATGTCCGCACGCGCCGCGTGGAGCATCTCCGCGACGGGGACAATGCGGCAGTGCGACGGGCGCCGCTCCCAGGGGATGGCTGGATGGCGCGTCACAGACGATAAGTGGCGCAAATCCTGCCGCGCGCAACAGCTGGTCCACACCATTCGCCGACGAAGTTCTCGGTCGCTTTTTCAGAACCTGCCAACGGGAAGCTACGCGGCTCGGAATCTTCGCCAGTGTTTTTGTGGGAAGCTCCGAAAAAGGAGGCACGTCAGCGCGCTGCACCTCGTGTAGCTAATTGAATAGAATGCCAACAAGCTGCCAGTGCGCTGGATCTAGACGCTGCTGTACGCACAATGCATGCGTCGAGAGAATACCCAGCACAAAGTACCCGGAGTGCCCAGTTAAGCATACATCCGCCGGCAGAGCACCCCAGCGTCTCGCCATTCGCTGCCAATGACACGAGCAGCTGACGCTCGCGCCGGAGCGCGTGTTTGTGGGCCGTTCTGGCGGTGGCCCAGCGTCAAAAGCCGACTAAGCTACGGCGGGCGGCAGTCAACACCCACCGGCGGCCGCAACGGCCGCTGGCTGCTCTGCCGGCCGAGCTGCGCGGCCAGAGGTGACTGGCGCGTCACCGTCGCCGGAGGCGCCCCCTCCCCTCCCCTCCAGCCTGCCAGCCGGACCCAACTGTCCAAACAGGGACGCGTGCACACCGACAGACGGGCACACACACACGCATACACAAGCGCGCGGAGAAACAAACGCACGCGTGTGCACGTACGGGCGTATGCGTGCGTCTGTCGCATGCGCGTGGATACGTGTGCGCATGCATGGAGGCACACGTGTGCAAAGACGGACGCAGCCAACCCGCGGTACGTGCGCATTACGCGCGCACGAACACACGCACGGTCACGCGGAAAAGGACCGACATACACCCACGCAGACGCCATCCACTGATCGAGACCCCCTCCCCCCCCCCCTGAAGGCCCTTAGCCATATGTCAAAACCGCGCTAGATCCCACTCTCACATGTCTCTATCTCTCGACCGCGACTCCGTCTTCCTATTGATCCTGCCCGGCGAAGAGCGCTGTGGTCACCAGCAGAATGTGCGAATAGCCCGGGTGTTCCATCCACATGTACGGAGATGAGCGAAGTCGGCGGTGGCAGCCGGCCCCGGCGGCGGCTGGCAGCTGCCGCTCACCTCCTCGTTGTTGATGAACCAGGTCAGATTGGCGGCAGGCATGCTCCTGTGCGAGGTGCAGTTGACCTTGACCCGGTCGCCCACCTGGTAGCGGGTCTTGCCGCCGGTGATGGCCGGGCCGGCGGCTGGGAACGCTGCGGGTGGGGCGGCCGGGTCAGTGCGGACCGCCACACGGTGTAGGTCAGACCGTCACACGGCGCCGGTCAGACCACCACACGGCGTCAGTCAGGCCGTTACACGGCGCCGGTCAGACCGTCACACGGTGCCGGTCAGACCATCACACGGTGCCGGTCAGACCGTCACACGGCGCCGGTCAGGCCGTTACACGGCGCCGGTCAGACCGTCACACGGTGCCGGTCAGACCGTTACACGGCGCCGGTCAGACCGTCACACGGCGCCGGTCAGACCGTCACACGGCGCCGGTCAGGCCGTTACACGGTGCCAGTCAGACCGTCACACGGCGCCGGTCAGACCGTCACACGGCGCCGGTCAGACCGTCACACGGCGCCGGTCAGGCCGTTACACGGCGCCGGTCAGACCGTCACACGGCGCCGGTCAGACCGTCACATGGCACCAGTCAGACGGCCATACGGCGCCGGTCAGACCGTCACACGGCGCCGGTCAGACCGTCACACGGCGCCGGTCAGGCCGCCACACAACGCCGGCCAAGCTACCAGCGGCCAGCTGGCGCACGGCGGCCGGCTGCGGCTCGGCGCTCCAGCCAGTCCGGCTCGGGCTGCGTAGGCAGGATCCACGTCAGAGATCATGCCATGCGTGATGTTATCGTACTGATGCAGGCCAAATGAAGTTAGAAGTTGGCAATTTGTCGCGAACTAAGCTGAAACCAACAACAAAGGGTTAGACGACCGGACCATGGGAGATTGCAAGAGCCCCGCTGAGGCAGTTTTTAACTAACTAGACATACGCCACGATGAACCAGCGGACGTTTCGCATGACAGGCATGCACTGAGAACAGTGCGGATCACACGCTTCAGCACATTATCTTCGATGTGGTGTATTTCATGCTTTTCATAATGTTCTTCTGACACGCGACACCCGCCATGCTATGATCGAGCGGTCCCAATCGGCTGGCTTCTTACCATAACGAATTCACTTATGTTTCCGACATAATCCTCATTACACATGGAACTCATCCCATCCGGCTGTTTGAGGGGGCGTTATCGTCGTCGAACACACTCGATTACGTATGTACATCCGTGTCTGTGGCTGCATGGTAATGTTGTCATAATCCGCCCGACGAGATTACATTAACTCCGCGCGTGTGGGACAGCGGACGATACACTGCACAGGGAGACCGCTGACACTGCCGACAAACCAGCGACGCTCGGCGTCACGGACAGCCCCCCCCCCCCCTCCCCGGCCGTACAGAAGTCCGCACGGAAGGCGACAGACATCTTATGACGTCAGACATCTCAGGGCGGCCGTCGTCCGAACGGTTTGCCGACTCACTTGAACCAGGCATAGGTGCAAAGAGAATCTCCGAATAACGCTAAATCTTATATGCATATATACATATATATATATATATATATAATCTTACATATACATATATATCATGTGTACATAATCTCATATAAACATATATATATATATACATATATAATTACATAATACAACTCAGCGCCGGAGCTAGCACCTAGCTCACGCTGGAGCCAATCACACGCCTCCCAGCCCACGGACGGGACGGCGGAACACTGACACCCGAGACAGGTCACCGCCGCGGCTGGCGTGCTTTCGACGCTCGCTACCAAGTGTGTGCAGCCTATGCAGCTACTCCACCGCAGGTCGCCCGCGGCCACCCAATCGCCCCGACGTGGTGTCTGGAAAACGCTGGACGATAGCGACGCACCGTCCTCGGTCAATTTAGTGCATTCTCCAGGTGACCCAGTTGTGACCTAGGTGACCTGGCTGCGGGAGCGGAGGGCGGGACGAGTCACTGTGGCCGCGAGCTGCCATGGGTGCAACGACTGCTCCCATCTCACATGGGTGCAGTATCTTACTGACTGAGCTTCCATTCCGGGGAAAGAACTCTTACTGACTGAGCTTCCATTCCGGGGAAAGAACTCTTACTGACTGAGCTTCCATTCCGGGGAAAGAACAACGCAGACTGGCATGATCTTCGATTACAAGCAACAGTATTGTCAAGGCTCGCCAAAAACCTAAATGAAACACAAAGCATACAAAAAGCGAGAATAAGTTATAATAGCGCAAACAGCCGGTTTTCAGCACGCCGATTTAATCCGACACCAGGTCTCTACAAACCGGTTGAGTGAATATAGCAAGGGATCATAAGGACATGTTCGAGATATGCTCGGTGTTTTAGAGCGGTGTTCGCGACCACAGCTGAACAGGGCAACGTAGGGCATTTGACTCAAGAACCTGCGGCTCTTGAAAGACAGAAGGAGTTATGGGTCTGCGGGGACTGCCAACAACAATACACTGGAACATTCAATCATTCAGGTTCTCACATCCCATCAGCATACACTCAGTGCTGCGCTAGGAGTTCTCAAAGTGCACGTTGTCACATGTCGATACACATCTCATCACATCTTATCGACATGTTAGCACACGTGTTTCGGCTCACATGATTTAGTAATGCAGGACATTACTGGCTTACACAATCTGTTCCTTTCAAACCTTACCATCAATCTAATCAAGAATAATTAAGGGAGTTCCAAAGCTAGCTCCACTACACCCGCGGGCTGATGGCTAGCAGCGGCTCATCGCTTAGCGTTTAAGCCTGTAAGACCGGCGCGCGGGGCAAGAGCACGCCAGACGAACGGCCTGAAGACGGGCGGGTCTCGCGCTGCGCTCTCTCCTCGACTTTGGCAGGCCGGCCCGGTGCGGCGCAGACGGCCTGGATCCGCCGAAGACGGATGGCGCCCAATTAGTCTGATTACGATAAATGTGAAACAAATCTTCAGTTGCTGGTGTTGGCATGTCGCCAGCTCAGTCCAATCAGGAGTGCGTACGTGACGCAGGAGGGAGCCGCCGGCGGCCGCAGCGACGCGGCCGGACGCCGCCCGTCCGATCCCCAGCCGAGATAGGTCACGACGCCCCTAGCGGAGTCGCGATGCCGCCCCCCCCCCCCCCCCGCAGCAGTGTCGCACTGCCGTGGCCGGGGTCGGACCACACAAAACACGGCTGGGCCGGCGACGCGCGGCCGCGGTAATCCTGTGCTGGCAAATGCTGGTGGACAGGCGCCGGACCTGTTCCCCGAACCGCCCGTCGCCCGTGGTGGGTCTGGGGCAGTTTGGAACACTGGGCTCGTCTCCGGCCCATTGTACCCGGAAACAAAGGCGCCTTTTATTCCAGCGATAATGAAGCGTTCGGCGCGACACACAGCACTGCCAGCCCGCTGTGGACGGACTTCCTCGTTTTCCTCCTTGCTCCACATTCTTGCAATGCACGAAGTACGCGTTTCTTTCATCCCGTTTTCTTTAATACAGGCATGCGACAATGCAACGCCCCAGTGCTAACGGAAAAGTTATTGCATGACGAGGTGGTGATCATGCACGCGCTGATATCATATAAGTGACGTCAATATGCTGGTGAGCCGCACACAATTGCAAGTAACGGCAAAGCCTCTAGCACATTCTGCGAAGGGCTTCGATGAAACGCCGTTGTTTTCACCCCCACGGCGCCCGCAGCGTTGTCCCGCTACTCACACGCCCCTACCCACTCCCACACCCTTGGAATCTCACCTACGACGTGCACTTGTCCCTTGCCCTGCTCGGTGGCGAAGTTGGGCGCCTCGGTGGAGATCTCGCACATGTAGCGGCCCGAGTAGCGTAGAGTGGTCTGCTCCAGCCGCACGTGCGTCTCGTTCGAGGCGGCCAGCTGCGGCGAACGATAGCCGCGGCGTCAACGGTCGCCACCCGGCGCGCGACACCCACCGCGGCCGCCGGGCCCGGCCCCGAAATACAACACTGGCAGCGATCAACACATCTAAAAGGGCACCTCGACTGATTTCAAGCTGTGCGTGGAGACCTCGTTACCTATTCACGCTGGCGTTATGGGACCTATTTGGTGCCAACTAATGTACAAAAGGTAGGATAACCAGGAACGAAGTACACTGATTGTCGTGAGGTTTGTCAAAAGACCGGCATTTTTTTCTGCGGAAGCATTCGTCTTTCGTCATCAAAAATGTACCTTCAAGTCATTTTACGTTTGCGAATTGGCCCCTTGGGGAAAAGTCATTAAGCATCGCACACCCCACATAACATGAGGACGAAATAAAAACGTTTCCGGAGTAAACCTGGCTGGCTATTTTAATGATGCTCTGTTCCTGCTTATCGTGGCTTCCATGGATTCCACATTTTACACCAAATTGGCTCCCTCTCTAATCATTCTAGCGTGAGAAGGAGCTGTGAGAACAGAGTTAATTTACGTAAGACAGTCAGCACAGGGTGGTGGCATGTTTGAGGTCACGGGCCTGGCGGCTGACAGCCCCTGCAGCATCAGCATGCGCCGAGTCGAGTTTGCGACAGATTCGATGACGTCCACATGACGTATCGGGGAAGGTGTCAACGAGATGGCTGTCACCCGCCGAAGATCTCACCAGCGCAGCTTTTGACGGATCAATATGAGCCATTGTTCTCCTATTGTGACGGGACGTGCGCGGAAATAAAGTGCATGTGTGTTAAGTTGCGGTATCTCCTCATGATTCACGTTCTCTGCTTTCTGACGAACGACCGATCTCCACATTGGTACCGTCTTGGAAAGCTTGTGATAGATCCAATATCTTTAAAAGCTCGGAACAGGTGTTTTTGTTTCCTACTGGCCGTCGTTCAGATTTCGGCTCTCAGGGATATTACTCTGACGCTTATCTGTTCTCTTAGCTTGTCCGACCTTTTCGTATTTATCTTATACGTGTCCAGCAAGGCACGACAACCAGTCTGCATCAGGCCCAACAGCCAGCACACTTTTAGCAATTGTCACTCGATTGAAACTGTGGTGCCGCTTTTCATGCGGATTACGCCTAATGGCTGTCTACATTTCCTGTCTTCAACGAATGAAAGCCGTTGAATGATGATGTATCATGGCAGCTACATCCCAGAAGCCCAGCTGATAGCCAGTTACTCACATTGACCTTGATGCCCGGTTGCGGGAAGCTCTTCTTTGGCTGTCCCGTGGTTGGCTCGTATCTATAAAACTCCTTTCCGTCCTTGTACCACTTGATGGAGTAGAGGTCCTTGCCCTCCAGGTCGTACAGGCAGGCCAGGTTCACGTCTTCGCCGTGCTTGACGTGGGTCGGGATGCGCACCTTATACAGCTGTAGGCCGTCAGCAGCTGCAACAACGGAAAGTACCCTTCACACCACCGAAACGAAAGACTTTCCTGTGCTAGCGCATTTGTGTCCCTGCGCGGAGGCCTTCCCCGAAACACAGCAGAGTAGGCTACGAACAGAGAATAGGCTACGCACCTATTCCCGCGCGACTTCATGCAACTGCGACGTGTGCTGCGACGTGTGTATGCGGTAAAGACGAACTGTGAATTTACCGTCATACGTCCCTCATTGGTCACGTATAATTTCGGACCACGGCGATGCCTGGTCGGGGATCTGCGTCAATGTTATGGTAACATTGCTCTGGCCGGGGATCTGCGCCAATGCTGTGGTAACGTTGCTCTGGCTGGGGATCTGCGTCAGTGCTATTGTAATATTGCTCTGGCTGGGGATCTGCGTCAATGCTGTAGTAGCATCGCTCAGGCCGGGGATCTGCGTCAATGCTGTAGTAACATTGCACACCCTTCTCTGAACGGGCAACTGATACCGAACGAATATCAGAGCACGTAGCCAGCAGTGATCTTATGGTAAGACTCGGTGTTCGCTCCTCTTAGAAGGACTGGACTGCCGCACGTCACGGCGCTCTGCCCGAGACCACGCCATAATGTCAGGAATGTGTTTGTTCCGCAGCAGCCGCTGGATACTGGCGGGGGACACTGGTGACGGTGCTGTGCTGTCGGGCAGCGGGACCGTCCCGCCCTGGCCGGCAGCAAGTGATACTGGCGCTGTTCCGCCCGACAGCAAGATCACCCCAAGCTGTCCAGCGGCGAGTGTGATACTGGAGCTGTTCCACCCGACAGCGGGACCGTCCTGTTCTGTCCAGAGACGCGACGGGCCACAGCACACCCGCCCCCCCCCCCCCCTCTCCCCGCAGCACCAGGACTGGCGCTCCGCCACACCCTCCCTCTGCGGACAGTACACGCACGTCCAGGGTGTTGGGTGTCCCAACATTTATGAATGGTGCATGTACAACGAACGTTGCGGGTACCTATTACACCATTATGCCATCTGCACAGCGCAGTAAAAGCATGCACTGAACGTGACACATTGCCAGCCGGCGGTGCCGGCTGGCAGTGTGGAAACATCGGTACGAACGTGTCTACACTGCGAGGCTGATCAGTACCTTTATGCTTAAGTGATGCTCTATTACTCAAGCCACATGGGATGTGGAGCACATTTGCGAATTCAAGCTAGTGTCCCGTATCTCCCCCTCAGAGACATCCGATTTCGTCTGCCTTTCAAGTCATAACGGTAGTCCTGCCCCGACCGAGCTTTCAGAACTGAGGTCCCTCAGTCAAGACAAATCACGGGCAACCTGCCGTCGCAGCCAGGCAGCCTCCCGGGCCCGTCGGCGGTAATTAACGGCAGCGCGCGCTCCACACCGGCCCGGCAGCGGGAGCGGCGGCGCGCGATACAGGCACGGCAGCGGGAGCGGCGGGCTCCACACGGGCCCGGCAGTGGGAGCGGTGGTGCACGACACAGGCACGGCAGCGGGAGCGGCGGCGCTCCACGCCGGCCTGACAGCGGGAGCGGTGGCGCTCCACACCGGCCCGGCAGCGGGAGCGGTGGCGCGCGATACAGGCACGGCAGCGGGAGCGGCGGCGCTCCACACCGGCCCGGCAGCGGGAGCGGCAGCGCCCAACACCGGCCTGGCAGCGGGAGCGTCGGCGTTCCACGCCGGCCCGGCAGCGGGAGCGGTGGCGCTCCACACCGGCCCGGCAGCGGGAGCGGTGGCGCGCGATACAGGCACGGCAGCGGGAGCGGTGACGCTCCACACCGGCCTGGCAGCAGGGGCGGCGGCGCGTGACACCAGATGACAGCCGACCTTCCGGCCGGGGCCCCAGCAGCGCGCTGAGACCCCAGCTGACGCAAACACGAAGCGATGAGCCGATGCGCTCGTGCAGCAGCTCTAGTGTGGCGCTGTCCGCCCATCTCTTTCTCTGTCTTGACATGGTGGACGAGAGCGCTGAATTGTGTGGTAACGGCGTGGACGTTTTTGTGGTCATCTCACTGCGACAAATCGCGCAATGGGAACCAATTGATGTAACATTTTGTTTCTGTGACCCCTTCCCCAGGAAAGCACAGAGAGGTTGGCCACGACCCCGGTAACCTAATTTCATCGATGGTGAACACACACCCAAAACAAATGATTGGTTCCCATTCGCACATGAGGCCCGCGTGAGGTCTCCGCTCTAGTAGAACCGAGGCCCAAATAATCGCGCCTAACATTAAGAGGACACGAGGCCCGAATGATCACTTTCAAGAGAGGACGAGGAGCGAGTGAACCCCACTCGAGCAGTGACGAACCACAAACAATCTTCTCCAGACGACTACGGTGAAGCCAGCCGCCTCTGATCCCCGCCCCAATGGGACGACACGTAGATGACCCTCATTTCGGAGGGACGAGACACCAAAGACACTCGATTCGAATGGAACGAGGTTGCCAACGGCCGTGATGGCGAGCGACCGCCGGCTTCCGCGGGACGCACGGAATCGGCTCCTGCCGATGGACGCAATCAGCTGACGCGGTAACGGCGCCATCTGACGGCGGGGCGGCGGCGGCGCGGCGACTGACCGGGTTCCCCTGGCCGCGGCGGGGGGACAGGCGGCAGGCTCTGCTGCGGGGCGTGCCGGCCCTACGTCGGTGTCTCCCGCGCGCGGGGCGGGCCGCGCACGTGCCACTCAGTGGCGGCCCGGCCGCGGTCCGCACAGTGCATTCCCCGCAACAGGTGATCGTTAGCATCGAGTCAGACCGCTGCAGCCGTGGTCTCAGTTGCCTGGGTGGGCCACGCTTAGCACATGCACGAGAGACGTACCCAAATAAATTTTGAGACGAATGTTTTGGCTTTTTCAGAGTTTTTAATTAAGACGGTCAGATTACGGTGTGCTGTAGGATCAGCACGGATAAAGCTGCATGTGATGTGCATAGTATGCTATATGTAGCATATATAAGATGCCTATAAATCCAAAATGTGTTTCTTATTATGAAACAGTCTGTTGCGAGTTAATTTCGTTTTAGCTTTATTTTGAGAGCGTCGTCTTCAGCAATGAACACAAACGAGGACGCCACGCCAATTAAAACGGCATTCCGGAATGGATGGGCGGATGACGTCAATAAAACGCCAATGCTTATCTCTGTATATATGCGTTATCGACGATATAAGGGCACTTAAACAAAGTTTATTTGTCTACTTCAGTAGCCAGGAATGTGCCGTGACAACACCTAGTGGGTGAAATAATGTGCAGTGTAACATGAATGGACCTGTTGAATCACCGCCGAAATTCTGCTAATTGATTGTTGATATTTGTCGACCCACTCACAACCAGTTTTAGTGTTTTGACTGCACCTGTGCGAAAGCGTGCAGCCAGCCAGTGCTAACGATGAAAGACAATAACGCCCACGGTTCACATGCCACCTGCTTCTATCAAACACCACGTCATGAATGACGTGAGAACATAACGGACCTTTTACCATCCAAATGATTAGCAACGTGGGATAGAGGCGGCGCGAATACACAACACCTGACAAGGCACGACTTCCGCGCTTACATTCGGTGCACTTCCTAGTCAGCCAGTGCAATAAAAACACCGCCGTATCCGAACTCTTGCTATCCCAAACCGGTCGTGACACAATGCCCCTGATTACTGGTCAAACTGTAAGTTAGTTGCGGCTGTTCACCGCTCCCTTCGGGGAGCTGTGGTAGATTGGCTCCGTAGCGAGTCTGGCAGCGCCGTAAAACCCGGCCGATTCGTCTGTTTGTCGCCGTGATGGAGCGGCCGGCGGGGGCGCGCTATACTGATGAGGCCGCCGATCCGAGCTGACCGCCGCGCCGTGCGCCACTCGTGGTCCCTCCGTCCGTCCGCAGCCGTGCGGCACCTCAGGCGCCGGGCCGTTGGCCGGGCCCAGCCGTTACAGTCGGTGTCTGTCGGAGCGCGGCGGACACCGGAGTCCGGCCGGACGGCGCCAGGGTCCGGCCGGACCACGCCGGAGGCCGGCTGGACGGCGCCAGGGTCCGGCTGGACAGCGCCAGGGTCCGGCCGGACCACGCCAGAGCCCGACCGGGCCACGCCGGAGTCAGGCTCGACCACGCCCGGTCAGCCTCCGCAGCCGCGTCGATAACACCGCAATCACATAAGTGAGGCCATTTTTCAGTTCCAAACCCACGTCGCAATGAATCATACGCGGGCTGGCGTGGAAATGACCCCTCTTTTTGCGGTTGTCACAACAAATCAGCGCCTGCTGAAACCCGCGTCAGCTCAAGTTTCAATTTTCCTATCTGGGCAGCGCGGAAACGTGCCAATTCAGTCGCGGTTGCACAACGGTGGCGCAGCATACGTTCGGGCCCAACAGAGGTAAGGACAAAAACGATGCGACCCACGCTGTTTTTCCAGCTAGTGCCAACAGACTGTTTGCTGATGCAAATATATCAAAGGTGAAAATGGCACCAAAGCTGCACATTTGCACAATAAAACAGCTTCTGCACCCATTTTATGGCCGATTAGTGAGTGATATCACGGGTTGCGAATTACGCCGGCAGAGAGCGGCGAATAGCAACCGCGCATGCCAACAACCACCTGAAGCACTGGCACCTGTGCACACTATGACGCCGCACAATGCCAGCAACACATCCGGACAGCGTCTTTTACAGGGATCCCGAAGAACTCCGACAGCATTCCAACGTTCTTAGGCAGGGAAGCCAGTGACGAGCCTGACTAGTCGTTGGCCGGAGCTGTGAGCCTCGGTAGTGAGAGACCGTGCGGCATGAGTGGTTAGCCGCGGTTACTGAGGGGCCGTGCAGAAGGAATGGTCAGCCGCGGTACTGAGCGACCGTGCCGGGGTGGTTAGCCGCGGTAATGAGCGGTCGTGCAGGGGGAGTGGTTAGCCGCGGTACTGAGCGGCCGTTCAGGAAGACTAGCCGCGGTACTGAGCGGCTGTGCAGGAGGTCTAGCCGCGGTACTGAGCGGCCGTGCAGGGGTGGTTAGCCGCGTTTACTGAGCGGCCGTG